CAAGTCTGTTAGAACAGACAAAACAATCATTTATTCAACTGTAAATGTAATAAAAATCATTATTGTTATGATTCGAAGAACACTTTATTCACAATTTTGGTCAGAAATTGAGATAAAAATGACTGGCATTATCGTTTTCCAAATTGAGATATTGTACAACGATGATGAAAATTTGCGTAACAATGACGGTCTCTCTTGGAGATTCGAAGAACACTTTATTCACAATTTTGGTCAGAAATTGAGATAAAAATGACTGGCATTATCGTTTTCCAAATTGAGATATTGTACAACGATGATGAAAATTTGCGTAACAATGACGGTCTCTCTTGGACACCGTCATACTAAGCGACCAAAAGATCTATTTTTAGTCGGCGGCATATCAAAGCTGCGCCTTGGCGCACTTGGCCGCAGAAACTTTCCCGGGGTTCTCATTATAATCGCTAAGCCATGATCGGAATAGTGTCCCCAAATTGTGACTAAAATATCTAAAGAGAGAAAAATAAGGACAATTTTTACCGGACAAACGCAAAGATTTATAGTTTAAGGTAAGTTAGGTTTGAAAAGGCAGTTTCAGAGAGGTGTTTTAATAAGAATCCTTTTATGCTAAACATAGAGTATAACAATAGTAACAATGGGATATAATATTCAATGGAATCGAGTCTTTAGATAATAGAAATTCTACTAAAGAAAACATTGGACATGTAAAATAGTAAAGGAAACGGTTATTTTTATTAAAATAAATTTAATCAATGTCATGTTATGCGCAGAATGGAACAACTCGTAAGCAGATACTCGCGTCATTTGCATGTTGTTTCAATCACAACACAATACTTCCGGAGCCAAGTGCTTTTCTCCATACATACACTTATTATAAGAGCGATTACGTTAATAATACGTTCAGCATTATTATTATGATCCTCGTTAAAATATCCATTCTCGGATAATATTATTACCGAACTTCCATTTGGGGGTTGAAGAACGGTGACGTGACGTTTAACAATTTCGAACCCTCTGGGCAATTATTGAGAGCTTGTCAATCTCTAGGCTTGCATATTCTATAAAATACCCTTATTGACGGTTTTCTTACTTCCCAGTCATTTTTCCCTTCATTCACTTACCAAGAACTTTTTCTCCAAAAGACTTGTTATTTGCAAACAAAACAACGTCAACATTTCACCATGGCAGAAGAGAGAATTCAAAACTTGGGCGTATTAAGATCTATGTTCCCAACCATAGATCCGGAAGTATGCGAAGCCGTCTTTGACACGAACGGCGGTAAGCTCGAAGAGAGTATCAATGCCTTGCTTTCCATGGTTGACCCAGACTACAAAGCCGAAGAGGCTGTTCCCGTCCAAACGATCACTGGTCATGTTACGTCTACTTCGCGAGAGCAAATCCAGCTCGACGAAGAGTTAGCAAGAACTCTGGCCTTGGAGGCTGACAGAGAAGCTAGATATTATGAACAATCTGTTCGCGCTCAGCAGCAAAAGCGTAACCAAGAAAAAGAACAGCAATCAAAAGAAGGCGACTTTTTCACTGATGAACTACCAGTGATCAAAGAAAAGTTTACTACTGCCGCTCATACGGCCGCTGATACGACAAAGAAGAAGGTGAAGGAATGGTACGAAAAATTCAAATCTTCAGTACGCGACGATGACAGTCCGCATATGACTGGTGCTCAATACACTAACCTTCCTGCTGACGAGGCTGATCACGCTCTCTTAACCGAGGATTATCCGCCTCTATCTCAGACGCGCACACAAGATGCACATTCTAATAAATATAACAAATCAGGTGGATACACTAGCCAATATAACAGAGCTGGAGCATATACATCCTCTTATAACACAAGTTCAGATGTGGACCGTGATGCGATTACAACTGTTTATAATCCGAGTTCAGATGTGGACCGTGATGCGATTACAACTGTTTATAATCCTCCGCAACGTTCGACCGAGTCTCCTGCGAGATTCAGCGAGACTAATAATGAACCCATACAGATTATAAGAGATAAATCGAATTCAAGCTCGTTTCCGGCAGTCACGGTTGAAGAAGAAGATGATGATGATTTGATTAAACCTTCACCGTATGCAATATCTGGGAATATAGGTGAGTGGATAAAGGGCGAGATGAGCGAAAACTTCTGTTAACTATGTTTACTCGCGACTAATGTTTTGTATCTTTATAGGGAATACCAAACCAGCCGTGCCGCCGAGACCAAGTGCGTCTTCTGAAGAGTAGATGGACTATGAGTAATATAGTCGTTATTTCTAGTTTTCGTTAACAAAATGCATTCGAGTAGAAGAATCTACTTGTACTCAAAAATACGGATATATTTTGTTTAATGATATGCCATTCACTACGGTATAACCGGTACCGCATATACGTTCAAATACAAATATTTTTACTTTATAATTTTCTGTATATTTATCGTTGCCAGCATTATTATTAAAGTTTGAAAACAAATCGATATTCCTGTCATATGCTCATAATAGCAGCTAATGATTTTCCTGGAGATGTTACTGCATCGGTATGAAAACGTAAAATTATTAATCACATGATCAATTGCAATACTAGTTTAGAGGAACGCTATCATTATTTATTAGCACAACCTAAACCTAATAAGTCATTTAGAGTTTTCCCTAATTCAACATACAAAGTCTCTACTACGCTAAACGATTTGGTGTGACATCTATAAGGGACAACCTTTTAATGACTATCCTCTTTTTTCAGTCCAATCCGAAATAGAGAATTATTATTTTGCTATTCACGCTGTAGAATTATCTATTATTCCCTGGTCGTTTAGACGTCATATTCAGACGCTCTACTTTCCATAACATAGCGCCGACACATTATTCTTCTTATAATGTTATACTAAAAGTTCAAACACAAAATTTTATTTGTATGCAAGCAATCAAGTGTAAAAACTTGTCAAGTGCCCCGGGTACTCCTCATCCATCGAGCCAGTCCGTGAGCGTTTGCTAGAAGAACAAAAAATTAAATGTCAATCATCTTTTCAAACTCCCCTCCTCTATTACGCTCTAATACAAACCTTCCTCTATCGCCTTCATCCAACTCGACTGCCTCAAATTCGTCGGAATCTTCAGATCTGATTCCGTTCACTTCCACTGCCATAAATTCATCCTCTTCTGCTCCATCCATAAACTCATCATCCTCATTTTCATTCATAAACTGGTCTGTTTGATCAACAGTAACAGTATCGAATTCATCATCGTCGGCTGGAGTTGAGGCAGCTTGTTGCTGGTAATTGGCGTAGTAACTTGCATAATCTATAAAGAAAAGAGTGTAAGACAGGAAAATACTAATACGACGCAAGTTTGTTGATCAATATTTACAGTCTTTTCGTTCCTTGTCTCTCTCGCTCGATTGTTCCACTTTTATTTCGTGTTGATCTTCCTTTTGCTTATTTGATATCGTTGGCTGTAATGAGTCTGCTACCATCGTTTCACCAGATATGGTACTGCGAGCGTGCCAGACTGGAAGGGCATTTTGTTGGCTTGCAGAATGACGGTCCAAAAGAACAACACAGTAAGCGTATAATAGTATAGTAATGATAAACATTATTGTTAAAAAAACTCACCGCTTCTTTTCAATCTCAGCTTCTTTCGCCCTCTTGCTAGCTTCATTGTCATCCTGAAATACGACGACAATACCTCCAGTGAGATTGCCGCTTTCTTGAGCGTACGATATTTCCTTGTCCTCTGTGAACGGATTACGGCAGAATTGTTAACGTTTGGGGACGGATTTGTGACTTCAATGCAGTTCCTAGTCTACTCACGTGATGTTTGCAGCGATCCCTTGCCCGAGCTACTACCGGCAATCTTATCTATTGTAGTGCTTTTTGGTTTTTTTGTCATGAGAATGCAGATAAAAATATAAAGTAATAGAAAAGTAGTTGTCTTTCTTCACAAACGCGTAGCCATACAACACATACGCTGGTATACGCAATTTATCTATATCTTTGAGTAGATCAATCATAGGTTGAGATTGTTCCATAAACCTTTTAAATATAAGCTAACAGAATTAGTTCTTCTAGTCGCATTCATTCGAAATCCCTCGTCATAACCAAGGACATACCTTCCATGCAACTGCTCCGATCCCTTTACATTCTCAGCATTGTCGTTGTGCTTCAGCTCCGTTGAACACACCTCGCATGTAAATACACCCCTTTCGTGGTCTAGCAGGAATGCAACATCCAACGGGGAATATGTTTTCTTGCAATTAGGACAAATATAACCCTTGTTTTCTAATTCCTAAATAGTGAATTTACAAAGATTTGTCAAACAAAAGTAAACGATGCTTTATTGTGTTTGACTAGATTAAAGAAAAGCCGGCATACGTTACGCATCCTGTCTCCAACCATAACTCGAATTTTGTATATTTTCCATTTCACTACATTTACAAACTGTTGCCAGTCTATGTAGTAATAAGTTTTCGGAACTGGTCGTTGATCCGCCTTTTTGGGTTCCATACGCTGAAATCTAACGTAAGGGTCGGACATCAAGTCACTGAGTCATCTTCCAAGGAGTCACTCATTATTCTATAAGAACATACGTTTTCAACAGCCGGTTCTCCTTAAGAGTTCCGCATATCTTGTGAATTTCTTTCACAGTCAGACCTATTGTTTTCGATAATTCTTCATCGCTAATACTAAAATGGAATAACACTTGTTAGTAAAGTTGTCTCGCGTTAAATCAAGATTGATCTATCATCTTTTGAACTCACGCTTCGTGTTTAGTCAGCTCATCCATGACCACAATGAACGGGGTCTGAAAGAATGCGCGAGTGACACGCTTCACAAGACGAACGAGCGGGCGCATATCTACAGGCTCCTCCATTGTGTCGTGGTGAGGTATGGTAGCTGTTCAATGCAACGACTCGCACTGTTGAAGCATAGCGTTACGAGTTATGAGTTTGACATATGATGACGTATTGTTTACATATTCGAATGCATACTAGTTGTATGTGGTCATGTGATCAAACTATAATGAGATTAAATTTTCATTACAAAAAAGTTTTCAAAAAACAAAAACCATTCCATAATGTCTTTATGTCAAAGAAGATTCATTGGATATTCGACATCGTATGTACATTCTCATGGATACGATTCTCTGTATTTTAATTGAATCAATTCGTTAACAAATTGTGTGGACAGGGGAATAAATACAAGAATAAATGGGATTTGGAAGAGGTGAACAAATAGATAACCATTTTCGTTTCAATGTGTTTTGTATGCATCTAATCAATTAAAATATTCTTGTTCCCACTAATAATTAGTAAGTCATATTCTTCTGCATGGATAAATGCTATGAAATCTAAGAGAATCAACCCTCTGGTAAATATGCTCTGCTGTCTCAATGCTAAGCACTACTTGCTCAATTTTTTCTGATCGCTTCTTATCTACCAAGCAAGATCCGCACTCGCTTGTTGAGTAGTGATACAACTCAGCCCGTTGAGGAGGATTTGCATGTCGGGAATACAAAGGAACGAGTGCTGGATAGATATAAACAGATCGGGGCAAAATCAGGTCGACAGTATCCCGAATTTGTCAAGCGAATCGCACCCCCTCTTTCCAAGTTACTTGGAATAACAGTGCGCGCTGAGGGAATGTCAACGATTCAACGAGTATATCCTGTATGCGCAATGCAGACGGAATATCATAGAGATTATTATATAGACGGTAAATCACGTTACATTGTGTGATTATCAGCTTGACATCTATTATTGATCACGACCTGTTATGAACGATTCCAGCATGTAAATTACCCGATAATTATCAGACATGGTTCTCAGTAACGGCGTTACATCTATGGATGGTTATAGTAAGGTTCAGGCCAGAGACTCATGGAGAAACATACAACGAGATTTTGGTTAATACGTTTTTTGAAGATGTTGAGTGGAGAATGTGTAATCTTCATGGTGTAAGAATATGCACATTTGCACACATGTCAATATGGAATTGTTAGGAATCTACTCTGACAATATCCCTACCTACTAATTTGTGTTTTTACTATTTCTTCCCTAGGTTAAACGCGGTTCAATAGCAACACGGTATATCAAAGATTTCCTTTCCCAATTCAGAGGGGCCGTTATGGCATATGATGAAGGATTATGTAAAAGCGATGCGATACTGGCTGCTGCGCTGTGGAGGTAAACGAATCTCATTTATTCTGGTTGACAGATTAACGAATGATTGGGAGGATTTGCGCGTTTATTCATCAGCAACATTGTCTTAATTTGTTATAGGAATGTCTTTTCAACATTTACCTCTATTCATATCATGGCATCACTGCTAAAATATACGCGACAAGAGCTCCAAAGATTGGATTCATTATCCTGGGAAGACATTAGCCAGGGAAAAGTCCAGTTCTCAAAGCCAACTCTGGAACTGTAAATAAATTGTTCAAGATGACAAAAATTGTATTCTGTAATTTTGTGTATGCTAATGGCTGATAATTAGTAATGATGTCAGCTTGACAAATTTTATTATTATAAGTACTTTTAAACTGGACGATTCGCAGCAACCCACACTGTCATTCTACTACATCATGCCGTTTTTTGTTCACTTGCTAAATTCTGTTGCGGTGGTGGACTGCTACCAAAGTCTGACGGTTGCACTGGCGGCGGTGGAGGGCCCTTTGAATAATACAAGAGGATTCCATGGTTAATCTTCACTGCTACAGTAAAAGTAGATTCCGTAAGTCAGTATATATTACCTGAGTAATTAGCTCCCATACGGTCATTTTACTGTCCTTTAACTGCTTGAAGTGCATCTGCTCGAACTGTTTTTGTTCTTCTTGGATCATCTTTTGGAATTGTGGAGCTTGCTCTTTTATGTTCTTATAATGAGAATTGAATTCATCACGCATGTATTTCCGTCGGAGATCAACTGCTTGATAAACTGGTGTGACTTCATGTTGCTGTGTGCACAAATATATTATAATTGATGTTAATAATCCAGCAATTGAAAACTTGATTCAATCCTCCTTATCAAATGCATATTTGCACTTAAATGGATTTGTATGTACACATATAGCTGAAGATTACACGTTGAAACATACCACATGACCACCACCGAGCGTGAATGCCCAACTCGCCAATCCTTTCTTTGGTTGTTTAGCTTTCTCCCACTCTAGACGACTCTGCTCCTTCCAATTCTTTTCCCATTCCGCAAATGCCTGTGGAAGATTCTTTTCATTCTGAAACATTTTTATTATCGGAAGCACGTCCTGTACATCAAATAAGATGAAATCTGTCCGCAGACAGTAGAACCATTAAAATTAACGTATCGAATGTCTTGCATTGATGCATTACAAATACTTACATTCCAGAAATGGAATAATATCTATCAGAAATGTATCTTTGGGGTCACCATTCCACGGCGGTACATAAATTGCGTTCTCCGGCTGCAACGAGTAGGCATCAGGATCCGAGTCCATGATAATTACTTTTGACAAGTCACGGTTTAGCTTGGATAAATCCTAAAAAGAATGTCGTTCATCTTCGGATCAATAATGTACTTCTTACGATAAGTCAAATTTCACACATGTACTCGTATATATAAACGTAAATTATTTCTATTTGTTACCTTAACATGTTTACCATCAACATATCTTGTCTGATCCCTAGTTAGTTTAAATGGAGCCATTCCGAGCGGATCAAGCTTTAACAATAATGGCTCCGCCGTCTAGCAAAACGCGGATAATTACTGACTAGGATTAAGAGGTTTGTTGTTGTTGTTGTTATTGAGAAGAAAGCAATGCTATACTCACGTAAGTGGGCTGTGCAGTCCAGATGACAAGTTCATATAAGTTGGCCATGTATGCGAGAAAATAATCCAATCCTGGTCTTTTTGCAAATCGCCAACCATGTTGTCTCTAAAGATAGACAAGTTCATAGATAGACGGTATTACGTCAATAACCATTTGCACAACTGAACAATACGCGGATTTTCGGAGTACTGAACGCGTCTGATACTCACATCCCACGTTGAATGTATGAGAGTTTCTTCGAGGTTAATTACTAAAGTGAGTGGTGGAAAGTTTGGTAATGTATCCTTGTCTTGCAATAACTTGTCCGATGGAGGCTCCATAAAGAACTTTAATAAACAGCAGATCATCAGCATGTCGAATAATATTTATTCTGGCAAACGGGGCGTTCATATATACCTGAAGAAGATCTTCAAATCGCGCTCGCAATCTCTTATACCAAGCGGCAAAAAAACCTAAGTCTTTGTACTATTTATAAATTAGTTTTCGATTCGCATAATTCCTTCATTTTTCAGGTTTCTCCTCAATTACCTTATTCTCCCTGTCAGATTCGAACGGCCTTCCTAAAATTACCTATCGTTAGCGACTGTCGTTCATATTCTGTGCATTTTACCTTTAATGAACCTGTCGTATACCTGAGTATAATATCAACGCAATAGTAGAACCTATCATAGTCACACCGACAACCGACAAAAACTTTTTCATCTTGGGATTTATAGCATCAATATTGGAACTAGGCTTCCGCGGGCGACTGCGTGGTTTTGGAGGAGTAACCTCTGTTAGGTAACTTTTATAGTGTGTTTGCAAGAGACGTATTCGCGGTGCTGAAGTGAATTGTATCGAAGGTGCATAAATAGGATGAATATTTCGCGTGCTTGGTGGACTAACATGAGTGATCGTGTGTGCAGAACGAGCCTGAATAGGTGTGGAGTATAAGGCTTTATATTGACTTAGTTTTGGAATCGTGAAATTCAGACGGTGAAATATTCGAACAGACATTTTAAAAGTTTTTTTGAACAACCCATTTCAATCTAATATGTAGATCTCAATATCAACCCCTGCCAAAATAAAATAAAATAAAGGAAAATAAAATATTTATTATTTATTTCTCCAACTTATCGTAAATAATCAAGCTATTAAATGCTTAAAAGAAATATCAACCAGCTTGAATCACTTTTGCTCTAGCTTTAACTATAGTCAAATAATACAAATGGATATCAATAGCGAGGATATGTATTATACCTATTCCATGGATAATAAGATCTTCTCTCCCATGGACAATGTCTTCTAGCAAAAAATCCTCGTCGGCGTAATTTCGCAAACGAGAAGGCTAGAATCAACACCCATGATGCAAAGAATAATATCGACAATACGGCAAAGAAGAATTTAATCACAGCAAAAAATAAAAACAGGAATAGAACTATTTTAAGAGCCTTTTTCATGAAACACATCGCTATAATTTTTTGAAATTCTGCACATGAATTGGATCTTTGTGAGCACGCCTGCCCACCACAATTGTGTTGTCTATTTATATCACAAGAACAAGCCGCACGCGTATGTCGATCATTAGCATTCCCAAGTGACGACAGCGGCAACTCGTTATCAGCAAAGGACCTGAACCAGCCACCTGCATTCTCGACGCCGTTGTTAGTGAATTCAAAAATTTGATCTACTATTGAATTGGCTGTTTGTCTTAATTGAGGATTTTGTTGGGCGATTTCGTAGAGTTGGTCCATCAAATTTTGGATCTGACCGGCGAAATTAGTTTCTGGCCCAGGTTGTTCGGACGGGGTAAATTGAGGTTGCTCTACAACAGTCTCACCATCCTTATCACTCTTGGTATTTTCCTCATTATTGCCAGTGCTATCGCAGATTCTTCGGTCCTTCTTGTCAGTCTCTTTAGATATAATGCCTTCGCTTGCGACATTTCTCAAAGTCAGCATTGGTTGTGATTGATCCTCCTCATCTTCATTCATAACAGCTTGTACATTACTGCTTAATTTTGACCTTCCTTCAAGCACCCAAGACTCATATCCACTATCTTCAATACCAGTATTCAACACGAAAGACATAGTAGAGCTCTTAGATGACTCCAATACATGCCTTAGTTCAACATCCGAAGAAAGCGTAATAACGTCCCCATCTTCGTCGGAATAGGAAAGCCCAATTGGAACATTGAGAGGAATGGAGAAGAGGAGTCGAAGTTGAGCGGACAGGTCGGTCCAGGTTATGGTTAAGGGGAGCGTTAATTTACGGATCGTAGCATTGTATGTAACTTTGATAGCTGACATTCTAAATTATCCAATTTATTATTACAGTTTGTAATAGAAAAGCGTGTTTGGTATTGAATGTCGGAAATATAATATTGGGATATTTTATCAAACGCAATACTGCTTCTTCAATCGACGTTTTATATTTTCATGGCTCTATGCCAAGATTCCATATCGCCACTTTACTCATTCGTAAGCAACACGTAAACAATCATTACCGGGTCGTTGCGTATGACGCAGTAAGTTACGTCTGATTTGGAGGATGTGGTTGATTGTGATTTGATTTTGGAGTAGTACAAATATGTGTTTCGGGTAAAAGGAATCACTACCCGAACTCCAAATAAAGAGATTAACGGTTTCATTAGTTTGAAGGTTCAGTTATGAATAACAAAGATTTTAATAAAAAACAATCTCATTAACTGCTAATAGCAAATTAAAAACTTGCCACGACTAAGCGGTCCGAGCCAATAGGACACCAACACTTGTATATTAATTAAACGCTAATGACTTGTAATAATATTCATGAGAACGATTTACTCTGAATATATCACCTTTTTATAATTAATATGCTCTTCAACTAAGAATTACTATTCGTAATACTGTAGTTCTATTCTTATTGTTATGCGTCATTGTTGCTGAACGAAAATATCTATTGCTATGGCCTAAAGGCTAAAACAAGCCGATAGGCCAGCTTACTGAAGTTAGAGTAACGTCTAGCCGTAAATTAGCGGACGCTGGAGTATCTGACTAAACAAGAAAGAATACTTCAATTAAGTGTTGAAGGTTTTGTGAAGGTACGAAGTCGATGGCGTATATTTCTCCCCATGTTCTGCGCAGTTAGTTCCACGTTTCATCCATATCATCTAGATGTCGCAACAGTACAAAGCTTCACAGTGTATACCAGTACACAATATATCATTGTACTGACGCACCAATTATAAAATGACAGCTCGATTAGATATACGAGATCCGTTGATTTCTTTATAATAAACGAGTAGTTATTTTCCTGGTGAAATATTCGATATAATTGTAAATTACTTTTAATCCTTATATCGATTAAGGCTTGTCCCGCGAATATTCTCGTGGCATTGCGCTTAAGCACCATATAATTTAAAAAATTTTAATTATATTTTACTCTCAAAAAACAATTTATTCGGCTTCAAATTTTTCTAATAAACGGGCCCGGGTCATAACATCGACAATCATTTCGTAGACATTATATTTCGATGACAGCCACTCCGCTTACAGGTCATTTCATTCACCGACAGTTATTTCATAGCCTCGTTGTCTATCAGTCCAGCCGTTCCTCTCCTTCAGTCTATCTTACTCTACAAATCTCATTTTAGGATCTGGTTTTATCAATCAAGTTGAATATTTTGATGTTATTCGTGAAATGACTATTGAATTATTGATAGTAATAGAAAAACACTCTATCTTCAAAAGATCCCTTCGAACTAAGAGAAAAGAAAGTCAAAGTTCGTATTATATTGAATTAGTGTATGCAGAATTGATTGATGCTGGTTGGCTCGAAATTAAATAAAACTTTCAAATCACTGTTTTAACAGAGACAGATCTACTTTGAAAGGCAACTGTTTTAATCTGATAAACATAATAAAGTAAATAACGTCAGCCATTATGTCCACTGGCGGCAAAATGACTATCGTTGAAATGATTGTCGAGAGGCCTGTCGGCGTAATATAATGTCTACGAAGTTATTACCTCCCATGATTAATCAGACCCCCAACACTATAATAATAAGCTTCCGAAACAATCCCATTAGAAAAGTTTATTCGATGGCGAATGACCGTCTAGGATTAGTGTCTACCGATCGAGAGTAGTAAAGCCTGTTTGAAAGGCCACTAACTGTCGTTTGTATTTAACTAAGAGTAGAAGAAACCAAGAGCTCCGTTCGAAAATAGCTAAATTCCAAAGCCAAAATTTGCTCTCCTGCGATTGTTGGCTTAACAGTTTCATTTATCAAAGAGCTTAACACAACATACGAATGTCCTTAGCAATAGTAAAAGCCCGTCTTAAAGGATGAGTACACTTAGTTGACAAGGCATACATGCAAGACTGCTAAATTTTGAGCATCCCTAGTCAAACTCAAAACACCAAACACCCACATGACCAAATATAATACTAGGATATAAAAACATAACTGCACATCTTTACTATAATAAAATTGTTTACTAACTTGCTATTTAATACTTAATATCAATATAAATAATATTTTCATAATAATATAGAAATTTCATAGCTTGTATTTAACAAATGCAATTTATCTTCCATTTACAGTCCCCTATAATTTTGCTCAATTTTATGTCAAATGCTCTGTACTAAACAATCTTCTTATCATCTTTATACAACTCAATCTTCTCCCTTATTTAATTTTTTTTTACTTCTAGCCCATTGCCATAAAAAGTATACACTTTATTTATTGCTTTAGCATATCCCTGTTCAGCTGCTTTTTCATATAACTCAAGTGCTTTTTTAATATCTGCTTCTACCCCAATTCCGTTTTCATAATCCAGGCCAAGAATATTGTGCATAACCATTTCCTTCTTTAGCTCTTAATTGACAGTAGTTACATAACTAATGTTAAAATTTGACCCGGCCATTTCACTATAATAATAATGCCTACTGTTTTTAGGGTCCGTATTATTTCATCGACAATCATTTCACCGACAGTACATTTCACCGACAATTAACTACCAAAAAAGGATAACTTCGAAATAATGTCGGTGAAGATTTGTCGGTGAAATGATTGTCGGTGAAATGATTGTCGACGAAATGAATGATTGCCTCCCCTGTTTTTAACTTGTATTGACACATATTAATATGCTGGTTCTGCACTCTGATATAACTCGGCTACTTTTTTATACCATCCAACTGTTTTTTGTTCATCTTTTTCTACTCCAGTTCCATTTCATAACAAAAAGCAAGATTATATTGAGCACTGGCATCTCCTTTTTCAGCTGCTTTTTTATAACATTCAACTGCTTTTTGTTCATCTTTTTCTACTCCTGTTCCACTATAATACCAATCAGCAAGATTGGTTGGGTCCTTGTTCAGCTGCTTTTTGTACACTCAACTGTTTTCTGTTCATCTTTTTCTACCCCAGTAGTAGAGAAAATATAGCGGACTTGGGACTGTTTTTTTCCCCGTCGTCATTCGACTGACGACAGTTTTGCGATCGCATCGTCATTCATCATTTTTTTAACGATTTTTCATCTAATTCGTTTAATTTCGGGAGGAATTGGCGCAATTTTCGTTTTTGCATCGTCTCTCGAATGACGACAGTTTTGCGATTGCATCGTCATTCGAATATGGTACCACGCTGTACAACATAAAAGTCTAATAAAAAATTCGTATGGTGCGGGAAAGCATAACTCGACAATTTTATGAAATTTCTGGCGCCGATCCAAAGTCACGTTTTGTTCGACAGACCAATAATATTATGAAAATTTACCATGTATAATTCGACTATTAACCGATTACGCTGAAACGTTTGTTCCTTCTCTGATTCCCGACTAAAGATTACTACCATTTTAACGAAACCGTTTCGATTACAAAGACACAAAGAACTGATCAATTACAAATGAAACCAATTCGATTATGAAAGACAGAACAAATCAATCGGTTATACTGAAACATTATTATTATAAGCGAAACTGATTAAGCTGAAACATTATTGTAAGCGAAACCATAGTGCCGGCCCGAATGTAACAAATTCCACCAATATAATCTATATCACGTGACTTATTTACGCGTTTTGTTTCAAAATTTGGAGTTATGCTTGTTTCAAATTCGGGTCAATAATATAGAAAGCAACCAAGTTTAAATGCTTACAACTTTTCACACAGACAATACTTTTAAATTTTGAAAATATGATTTTTTTAGGGAGTTGAAAGGGTTTAAAGTCATACCATTTTATTGTCGAGTTATGTTTTCCCGCACCATATATAAAAGAAAATTTGTGAAAATTATACACGTGGCTTATCGGACTTGTTAACCAGTGAAAAGTATTTTCCTGCGTGTGCTCCGGAATGTTACGCTGATACTAGTGTTCTTGTTTATGGAAACTATCGTGACATTTCTACTCATACATCACTATGATGTAATGATGTGTTACACTAGGCGAATATCGATACCCGCTTATGCTTTACTATTGGTTGACAGTGATCGTTGTCACACTCCTTACTGCACAAATACATATTTATACTTATAAGGTCGCGCACGACAACAATACATCTTCTCATCTAACACGCAAACGCGTGTCTACTCATACATATATACACAGGCAAACTCGATAAGTCGGTCTCTCGATGATTCAATTTTGGCCTAAGAAGGCCAAAACTTCCCAAGCCCTTTTCTCAGTTTTAATATTTAAAATCTCTCGATAAGTCGGTTCTCTCGATAAGTCGGTCCATCATGCATGACCGACTTATCGAGTTCGCCTGTGTATACCCAGACACTCCTTTCCATTGCACATGTATCGCCTCACAACAAACTCTCCTCCTCCAAAGCGCAAATACAATGTTATCGAGAAGTTAGCGAATCTTCTTCCCTAATCGTCAAAACTTTTTTCTGGACCAACACCCTATACCAATACTTACCATGTCTACTTCTACAACTGAGCACGATGCATATTTAGTCAAAAACTGGGACACAGAGACACTTATCCTTTATCTGTAAGAACAGGGCCTCCAAATTAACGACGATGATTTTGTTATTATTCGCAACGAAGAGATCTCTGGTCAAGACTTTCTTGATATGACTAGATATGATTTCACGCAAGCAGGTTTGGAATTGGGGCCGGCAATGAGACTCGCAAAAGAAGCCAATGCCCTTAAAGCCACCACGCCGCGCCGAAGCGGTTATTCTCATCGTACCGCAGTTTGAGCGAGGTGCTGGTAAAATATGGTATGGAATCCGAAGGTATCGGTGCAATTCCGTTATTCAACCCACCAGCCCATAAAATCCAAGATGACGATAAGTATTTCGAAGAATGCATCACAGAAATCAGCAAAAGGTTAAAGGAATTGTGATACTTTGTATCCAGACAGTTTGGAAGCCATGCGTAATGAATACGTTGTTGCAATACTCCACACTGCACTCCTTATTGTCAGGGATGATAAAAAAAAAGAGTTTATTATGAGACCTCAACGGAAAATTATCGAGGGAAAAAGTTTTGGACATGTCGGTTACGCAATTAAGGTAGCGGGTGTAAGCCCTATTATCGAAAATAACTGGCTCTGGTAACACTTTATTTTTTTATTGCGGAATAATGACACTTCCAGGATTCTGAGAACTTTATTTACATCACGTCGGATAAATAACATAAAATTCCATGGGGTTTGCTCAGAACATCAAACAGCTAGAAAGTTTGTTTGAAACTAACAAGAGGAAACGTAAGCGGGATGAAGCATTTCGACGGTGATTTCGATTACCTTTATGGTATTGTAACAACGGGACGAGATTGGCACTTTCTGCTATATAGTCCTGGCGAAAGTGCACAAAGTGAAACTTCCTATACAATCGAATTTAACAAAAAAGCTTTGGATAAGGACTCGAAAGAATATCAATATTTGCATAAGAGTGTGAAAAGGATTTTGGAACAATTGAAGGATCGGGTGTGTGTAGAAAAATTGCCTTCAAGTAAACGAACCAGAGTAGAGGGATATCGCTCGAAAATATAATTACTTACAGAAACGTTGTGTAATAGGCAGTCTTGAACTTTTTTTCTGGAAAAACTTGTTTGCACTTTGCTGGATCGATCTTTTTTGTACTTGCCAATAATAGCAACAAGCGTGATGCTTATTGAATAATGCCCCCTACTGATCGTATGTAATATCGATGCAATATATAGAAAAATAATGAGTTTCTACATAGCCGTCACCCAGAGGACAAACAAGTAATGCTAGTAATGTAATAAAACAATGAATTATAGAAAAACAAAGGAATAGTATAAGCCTTCAAATGACGAGACATGAACAATAGTGATAAAATTACAATTCTGCTCTATACTACCACCTTTCCCAACTATTCTCTCTCTGTTGCTCATGCTCTAAAACGGATCATGTCTTAGTGTGATATAAACTTTTCTCTACATCTCAACCACTCCGCCCTATGTGCGTACACACGGTTCTATCATTATCTGTAGAAGTTTTTTTTCCGAGTCGACTTTCTCAAGCTTTCTTCTTTCGCCGACGCGTGGTACTAATCAGTATATGTTTGCTGATTATCAGTGGCTTAATCTAGACGTTTACATACCATATAGGAAGTTGTATTGTGCAACGATGGTTTCTAACTATGCAACAGCAGCGTAAGATTTTATTATAAACACGATATGGTTCGATTGTAACATAATAAATATCATTACAGCAAATTCTCATTGCTACATGGCATAACTTTGTAGTAACCAACTTCATAAAACAATGAATTACAACCGATAGTAACAGCAAAACCGTCAGCTTACAAGGTTCACTTGCCAGAGTGACAGAGTGACCAACGCTATGCTCTTCCTAGTCATGCTGGCGCTTTATTATTAATGACCCCTGAAATACACTGTAGTACTTGTTGCAGCATGATCTACGCATTGTTAAATTTAGATATAAAAGATAAGACTGACGTAATCGGCAGCAGTCTATAAGGTATTCGGAAGGTTTATCAGAAGAATTCAAAAAGATAGGAGAAAGGTGACAGTCTTGTCATTACCATTACCATTTATGTGTTGCGTTATCATATCAAAATTATCATAAAGAACGTTGACAACGTAAAGCATGGAATAATCTATTATCCATCTGATGTGCACGCATCTTGCTAATACTAATATGTGAATAGACAGCATATTATTCTAATGTCCTAACACTTGACGCAAATGTTTGTGGCGTCTGTCACCCCTTCCACCCCTGAAAATAATGTGTGCCGCACTTTTGGTTTGTTTCAGCACACCCATTTTAAGTTATTAAGAATTCAAATCCGATCGACATAATAAGGTGCACCAGCCAAACCCTGAATAATAAATACACCATCAATCGACATTCTTTAGTTCGGCTTGCTTTTCCTGCCAGCAATTAAGTAAAAATAAAGCAATCCCATTAACGTTCCGTTCTCTAAAACCGTTCAATTCCTAATCACATAATGTCAAGTAACCAAGGCATACTCAAAGACAGGGCCTCGTTAATTGGAGCGTTCTCTCCGGGAAAAGCCAGTCTCCCTACTGGATTTGGAGACATTAAGAAATTCATTCCAGAAGTAACTCAACAAAATCTGGAGACTACAGAATCGGAGGAATCAGACAGTGACTCGAGTGCGGATAGTTCGGAAGAAAGTGTATCAACCGACTCTTCCATAACCAGAGTTGCACATTACGACTCGACCCGACCGAAAGTTGTAGATAATATGTCTCAGGAACCCGAAGAGGTAGTAAAGAGACCACGCGCAAAGGTGAACATGGACAACATTATCGGCTATACTCGTCCCCAACCATTAACTCAATCTGGGCTTCAGATGCTGGGTGGTGTATCCAACAATCGCTTCAAAGCTCAATCTGAACTTGTTCGACGTAGTGACTCGGTCGGACATACAAAAGGACGACCATTGGGCGACTCACAAACGATGTTGGACGATGGATTGTCTTCTTACAAGCCGCAGGCTCTTGTGCGAGATGTCAACCCCCCTCGATACCACAGCTCTAGCCGGTCAGATACGTCATGGAACAGCGATTCAGGGAAGAATGACAAATGGTCGAATAACCGCCAAATCGATGACCAACCATCACGTAGACCCTTTGTTCGGACACCATCGATAATCAATGATCCTTTGCCAAACTATTCTTCCATCGGCCGCAATCGACAGTCTCAGTCAGAAGTGGTCTATCGTCGTCCTACGGAAGCTCCGACAGAGGTTTCACGAGTGAGTGATCCCGGACAAGGGCAGCCGGTCCGCCGGCCAACAGTTAAAGTCAGTGCGCGATTAAACGAGGATAGCGATAATCTCGATAATAATCAATATGGTAAAATGCGACCACGTGTTTCAGTCAGCGCGATGGTGGAATTGAATAGTAATAAAACAAAGAGAAAGGTTGTCCAAGACATAGGGAGCGCAAGTGATGAAGAAAGTGGAAGTACGGAAGAGAGTGGCAGTAGTGAAGACGAGTCGGGCGCAAATAACGAGGAAGATAATTTCGAGTCTTTGATTAATATAAAAATCCAGCAGGAGGTAAAGAAAGTTTGAAAGGAGGAGGAGGGGGAGGGGGATGTGGCTGCATCTTTTGGGATAACATTGTGATTATAATGGTTTACAATTGAACTTATAACGCGTTATGAACAAGCACTATTACTTTATCACTGTTGAGATATTCTTTGAGTTTATCAGGATTAGTCCTATTATTCAATTCCTCAAGAAAACCCAATTGCAATCGGTTATCCTTTTTCTAACTTGCCTATCATTATTCAGGTGCAAGAATTAAAAGTTTCGAACGAGTCTCTCCTTGCAAGCAATGCTGAACTTGAAGCAAAATTCAAAGAACAAGCAGACAAAATTGCAGAATTGTCCTCTCTAAGTTCTGTTGTTGCCGAACAGCAAGAGAAATTGGAAACCATCAAAGAGGTGGAAGAGATTGTAAAGAGCTTAAAAATGAAAATTACGGCTGCTGAAGAAGAAATTGTTAATCTTAAGAAACAGGCAGCCGAAAAGACGTGAGTATCTGGACGTTGTGTTTTGCGGTTGGGTGATGGGTAAAACAATTGTTCTTATATAAACAATTATCTTACGTTTCGTAGGGATGACAAGCAGAAGGTATGAACTTGATATTAATATTTACGGTACCGAGATTAATTTGCCTTTTTTTCAAGACTTGATGCTGACGCATTTTTCTCGCTATTATAGACAAGAATGGCATTTTTCGTTAACCCTAGATCACTGCCACTGAATAGACTTCCCCCAATAATTTTTGACAGAGGTATTCAAGTCTTCTTATTATATTCCTTTTCGTTGTCAATCATACTCTGTCTTGCTGGTACTCCATTTTCCATCTCTTGTATAATCCACACTGCGATCGATCTTACCTCTAACCTTTCTTTCCGATCTCCTCGAATTCTTAATTCCTTTTATCGCCAATTACAGTCTACGACGATTGCCTAATTCTAATCACCGTTGTTACATCTTTGCTCTACACAATATATGTGTTCCCAGTGATAGTCGCAGCTAGAGCAGCAATGCAGTTTGCCGATAGTTCGCGATCTCGTATCCAGGAACTGACTGGGACTGTGGAGAATAAGCCGTTGGTTCAAGCTCGTCCTGCAACCGAGAACAACGAGAACAGTAGCAACAGCAGCAGCAACAGCAGCAACAGCAACAGCAGTAGCAGCAACAACAGCAGCAGTGGTGACAACAAGGGTGAAACTGTATCAGCAGTAGAGTGAAACGTTGAAGAAGGAAGGGATGGTATAGTAGTTATTAAACAATTTGTATAGGTTGAGGATTTGTGTCTTATATGAAATGATACGATTATATGATAAAATTATGTGATAAAATAAATATTCGATGGAAGTCTTTGATTCTGAACTTCTTATTATTATCAACATTTCCGGTAGATGGGTCATGAATTAATATTAGAAAAATGCCATATAATCAATCGTACTAATCGAAACCTGGGAGTCGATGATTCGGTTTAAAAGCCTTTTGATGTTTAAATGCTACAAAAAGTAAGCTAAACGTGTTTATTGGATAATTTTCATCCCGCGTATGGAAGTATAGCATGCCGAAACACAGTGACAGCTGCAAATTGAAGTAAAAGTAGTCGCGTTTGTACAACACAAATTAATTGATTTAAATAACGTCAATGGACTTTTAACAGCCTTGGTTTAACGTCTAGGTATGTTCAATGAACCTCTCTCCATTCTCAAATTGGAAGTAACGGTTTATGTAGTTGTTTGTCTAAATTCTTGCAGTTTGTTGTGACACAATTATAATATTTCCCCATTTGGACAAATTTTTAACATTCAATTTTTTGTGATACTAATTTTCGATTATCGAATTGTTGAATAAAAGTTCCTCGCGATAATAGTTAATAACAAAGACAGATATATAATATACCATGAATGCATCTGGCCGGGGCACTGTTACGCTTCGTTGCCTAAGACGTTTCGCTCTCTTCCCACGCTATTCTTCTACTTCTCGCTCTTCTCCTTCGCAACCGATCCTCCTTTCAAACCCAGCTTCACCAAAATACCCCGAACTCGCCCGTGAACCCAAAGTAATAGCAACTTACCCGCTGTCTTCTCTCAACACAATTGACCCATACCTTGATTGGGAAGGCCAAGTCTTTGATAAACCATTTCCCGCTTACAAACCACCCGATGTATCTCTATCCGAAAACGAAACAGAAATGCTATCTACAATTTCATCGCTTACTCCCAACGAGATCCAATCAATGAAGAGAAAGGCGCTTGTGGTCAAGCGAGTGGTTAATCAAACAGGGAGAGGGAAGATACCATCGATGTATGCATTGGTTGTGGTGGGGAATGGTGATGGTGTTGGTGGGTATGGCGAAGGGAAAGACGAAGAAGCGGTTATGGCGATTAAGAAGGCAACAAATAAAGCGTTTAGATTGTTAAAGTATTTCGAGAGATATGATGACAGGACTGTTTACCATGACATTGAGTATAAGTTTGGAGGAACTAGGCTTAGATTATTTGCTCGACCACCTGGTACGTGGATCATGGATGGTGGAAGTGAATGGACATGATGTATGTGCTAAATTTAGCAATGTCTGCTATCGCGTTTTATCGGTTACTTACCAAATCTCGCTCAATTATTCCGCTATGTACTGATCAAAATAATTGTTCATCATCCTCTCTCTCTTTCAGGCTTTGGTATAAGGACTAATCATTACATACATGAAGTCTGTTCTTGCCTCGGTTATTCTGATATTGCGGGTAAAGTTCTGGGATCTCGTAATCCGATGAACGTAATCAAGGCTACCTTTGAAGCATTTCTATCACAACGGCTGCCGCGGGATATCGCAACACAAAGAGGGAAGAGGCTGATGGACGTGCATCATGTCTATTATGGAGCTGATTGAATCATATACATCCGTGAAAGAGAAGTATCCGATGGGAGTTATGCAAAGTCCGGTGTAACAGTGATAAAAGAAATTTGTATCAGTCTGTAGCTTGGTCTTTAAGAATCTGCGCGTAAATTTCGAAGCGTTTAACTTTTTTGAATAATAATAAAACTTTTTGAAAAAGGGGCAATTGCAATTAAAATCTATTTGATCAATCTTTTAACTTTAAAATTTTGTATTAAAGAAATCGAAGCTTGGATTCATAAATTTATTTTTATTATAACGAATACTAACGTTTGTTTTGTTCTCACTTCTTTTCTGCCATTCCCTTTTTTGTATATGGGGCAGACTGCAACAAAACCAGACAAAGTGAACATTCTGTTAGGTGACATAAATGAGAGGCTGGTGTGGCTAATAGTTAACTAATTTGATGTTTTATTATTCACAACTGCTGGCTCATGCACAAATTATGTAAATATAAATTACATTTTTAACTTTATATTATGACAAAATTTAACTAACATTCAACCTTATTGAGATAATTAATATAGGATTATCTCTGTATAAAAATATAATATGAAATTAATTTACATTAAATCCACCATGGAACCAAAGAATTACAGTACTATTAGAAGTATTTTAAAAAAAGAACAAGGAGAAAAAATTGCCCCATATTTTTTTAAAATTAATGATACCCAAACTCTCCAGGATTATCTAGATAAGGAAAAATCACTTACAAAATTTACCAAGAAGAAAGGAAAATAATAAGTATTAAGAAAAGAAAGCAGGATGAGGATGTACCATTACCAAATAAAAGACAAAAATATTTGATAAGATTCTAAACGCAATATTAGTGTATTCCATCTCACTGTAATTTAAAAAAGCTCCTTTGTTTTTAAATACTTATTTTGCTCTTTTTTTTTTTTGTAAAACTCTTTATACACGTAGAAAAGATAAAAAATCATGCCAAAAAAGAATAAAAATACCAAAGAAGGTTTAGAAATTAATTGATGAGATGAAGAAAATAGAGAACATAAAGAATTTTGTTGTTGAGATTGTTCTTTATCTCTTGTTATAAAATGTTCGTTTACCAATCTTCTTTGTTCTCTAATTTAGCCTTAACTAAATGCTCTTTGAATTTCTTTAGTAAGTCTCTTGCTTCTTCTTCCTTACGAGCATTGTACTGTAAGCCATTCCGAAAATGTTGGCACGTGTCATTCGTGGACTCATGATTTGAATATAAGGCGTTAATTGGTGTCATAACTTACGGAATGCAATCATATTTTAACGATAGAACCGACTTGTAACTCGTTTCAGCTGGCAATAGTGTAAGCGATTGAGTAATGCGATCGACATTTCTACCCGGACTTGGTAATCCATGAATTTCCGCATAAAATTCTTCACAGCGGAAGCAACGTTTATATCAATAGTTATCTTGGTTCATCTCCGAATTTGTGGACTTATATTCAAATAAAGTATCGATTTCTATGAGTTTTAGCTTTGTCGATTGCTCATTCTTGTTGAGAAGGAATAACTGAACTGTTTTTGTTTAGACATTTGGCAATAACAGCATTCAAATCTGTAAATTGAGTTAGACGTTGTATAAGTAAGTCTAATAATAGAATTTAATAAAGTGTGCGTTTGCAGATTTGATATCTTAGCAAATAGTGGCGAGTAACTCAGAATAGAACTCAATTTAGTTTCTTCTTACATCTTGGTTTGTTTGTTTTTAGGAATGATGTATGAATTAATCCCTTTCTAATAAGACTGCCGGCACAAACTCTAGTTACATAATCTAAATTAATTAATAAATTAAAAATAGCACCTTTAAAACCTCAAACATATTTACAAGAGTAAACTTGCAAATTTGGGTAGTTGTAATGTAAATGGAACAATTGAGTCTGATGGATTAACCCGTCGAATGAGTAGAGGTAGCCAAGACTCGTTTGAAAGAGCCAAATTCCAAGGTCGATAGTTATTCGCTCTCCACGACTATTGGCCATTATTCGGATACATGCTCCGGTCTTCTTGACACACTCAATCAAATTGACATATGAATTAGTGAACTCCCGTGACGCTTTTTGGATGCTTTCTTTTAGCCACCTTTCAAGTTTATTCCAAAGACGTTCAAATTGGATATGCATTTTAAAAAGCTTGTATAATTCATAAGGATCGCAAGCCCTTGATTGTCAAATATGAAAGACATCAAAAAGATCGTCCTAATAAAGTTTGTTTATCCAGCTGAAACGTATAGCTTGAAAAGGCAATCTGAAAAAATAATGCAAGTTTAACTTTTCATGGGGTTGATTTCTCAATAAAGTTGTTGCTGTACTGATAGTGTATATGACGGTGACAATATACCCGTTCAAAGTGTCATCGAACTTGTTTTGAAATATTTGTTGAGACACGTGTATACAATACAGTCAACCCTCTTTATAGTCATCCCCTCTATAAGCGCATCATATAAAACCACACCATGTTTGAGAACGACCTTTTTATGAGCACAAAAGTTTTGCATTGTCCCCGACAGCGTGACTATAGAGAGGGTCGACTGTATATAAAGAGCTCACAAAGTATACGCACGCACACGTAAACTATTTTAAGGAGTATTAGAAAGTTTATGCAATGTGATGGTACAAACTGAATACACGAAGAGGCGGCAAACATTCGTAAATTTTTGCGACAAGAGTTCTCCCTCGGCAACTGGTTGCAGAACGATACTTGTTCTATGGATTAACGTGGTAAGTAAACATTATTTAGTATTATTATATCGGCGAATATTACGCGTCTTTTGCCATGCGGTGAGTATGTCGAAACTAAGTGTCGGTTTACTTCAACGTCGATTTACAGAAATTTATTGTCATATTTAATTTCATTGTTACTAATTAGGGGGGGGGGAAATTCTTGGATTACAATTTTAGTTAGAGTATTAGTTGTAGGGCATGTTGTATTATCTCGACATGTACGTCTTCTCTTGTTTGTAAATTGATCGGTGGTGACATCATTTTTGGCTGGATACTATTAACATTAACCGATAAATCTCTCAAAGAGAGCTATATACCCACGTTTATTATGTAAGTATGGTTTACGTCATATGGTTGATGCAATTGGTCAGTCATTATTTGTGCTACATCCAGACGAAATAAAGGCGTTGCGTCTTCTTGCCTAATAAAGTAAACAAATTCATAGCTTGCGTTCTAGTGCAGACACAAACAGTGTTACAACGGTAAGGGTTATCTAGAGTGCAGAGTCAAATGGAAAGAGAAAGTGGTAGTTGGTAGATGACGCGATGTAGAATGTACTAAAAACTTGGTATTAAACTAATGTATTTTTGTATTCGGATAGTGATGTGGCATTATTTGATCATTGGTCAAACCCACTCTTTACTTTTTCTATTTCAAAAAATAGCAATTAACCCAACTGTACGAAGCCAGTCTCACAGGAAACCAACGAACGCACTCCAAGCACTTCCTCAAATACTGCATCTCGGAACCTCCATCAATTAACATGCATGTAGCTAATTCTTGAAGGCGGCCCTTTTACCTTCTATTGCTAAGACATAAACTCACACTCGTATGTTGTGCTAAACTTTTTAAATAAATGAAATATTGAACCTTTAGTTAAATGATTTTTTCCTGTTGGTCCGATACTCCAGTGTCCGCTTAGTCTACAGATAACTATTTACAACGCAACTGACGTAAGATTATGGCATAACAGCGCGTTTTCATTATATTGATCTTAAAAGAGACTACTGTCGCCTAAATAGTGACAGAAAAAAAAAGTACATTGCCCTAGAAACGGGCTATTGGTATGTAGGTATAAATAACAAGTATGAATGACGTATACTAATATCCGCAAACCTGCCCATTTACATTTGATGTGACAGAAATTAGTTGTAGGCTTAAGAATGTAGTTACGATAATGTTGGCGCTGACGCAGATCAGACATACGCTTTACGTCATGAGACGCCGCATGAGCTTTTAACGGCAAAACGATCTTAGCGCCAATAGCAGAATAACAATAGGATAAACCCGAAAGTGATGCTATGGAATTAGAAGTAATATGTAAATTCAAAGTCAGAGGTAGACACGAAGTCATAAATGAGAAAGTATCACCATACATGGGGGCAGCTTTTAGGCCAAACATTAAAGCTAAACTCGAATAAGGAAACAAATTCAGTCCTACGGTCTTAGTAACTATGACGGCAATGATTTTAGTGCTGAAAAGGAAATGCGAATACTCATTTTGTTTGCAGCGCGCCCACAGCATATATTGCGAGGGAAAATGTGGGAAAAAGGAGAATTACGTAATAGCAACATAACATACGGCTTGGCATTTGTATAAAAAGACCGATGGCATTTTGGAGAATTCACACCTATTAATATGGCTTCGCATACCATCGTTGGTATAGATGAGAATAGTCCGCTTATTACTGAGCGTACGACACGGCCATTAAAAACATCATGGATAAATTCATTTTTAATATTTGTTCCTTTTGGGTTTTTGTCCCATTTTTTGAATTGGAGTGACACCTGGGTGTTCGTGACGAATTTCCTTGCTATCATTCCACTTGCCAAATTACTCGTATTCGCTACAGATGATCTTTCTCGTCGTACTGGTCAGGTGTATATTAATTGACTCAATAGCATGAAACTTGTTGATGCCAATATTCTAAACTCTATCTATTTGATAGACTGTGGGAGCTCTCCTGAATGCTACATTTGGCAATGCTATCGAACTTATTATTGGAATTGTTGCCCTCTTCAAAGGAGAAATAGTACTTGTTCAAGCATCCATGATGGGTTCAATTATATCAAATCTGCTTCTTGTCTTGGGAGCATGTTTTCTTGCCGGTGGTATTAAGTACTCGATACAAGAATTCAACGAGACAACGGCACAAACAAATGCTAGTTTGATGACATTGGCTTGTATTGCATTGATCATTCCAGCTTCCTTTAGCGTTGCCACTCATCATATAGACAGAAACGCTCCCGAAGTGGTGGGTCTGAGTCATTACACGGCGATAGTTTTATTGATCGTTTACGTGTTATATTTGCTGTTCCAGGTAAAGAGCATGATTAACCATTGACTTGAAAACTGTACCGACGTCATTCATCTGGGGAACTCTGATAATAATGATATTTTTTAAATCGTTTTGACCATAGCTTAAAACTCATGCTTATTTGTATACCACAAACGAAGAGAGCGAAAGACCTGAACTCCCTCTTGCAGTTTCCGTGATTCTTTTGGCCGTGGCTACTGTCATTGTCGCCGCATGTAGTGAATTTCTCGTATCCTCCATAGAAGGTATCACCGAGTCTCTAGGATTGCCCAAGATATTTGTTGGTCTTATTCTACTTCCCGTCGTCGGTAATGCTGCAGAGTCTATGACGGCTATTAGTGCTGCTATAGAAAATAAGATGCAGTTGGCTATTGGTATTGCAGCGGGAAGTTCACTTCAAATTGCTCTGTTTGTGACGCCCTTTTTGGTTGTGCTTGGTTGGATTATCAATCAACCGATGACTTTATCCTTCGATTTGTTTGAGACAATATTGTTATCCGTCTCTGTGTTGATTATGAATTATTTAATTCAGGTAAGTAAATCAACTGCAGCACTTGATTTTTAACGATAATGGATGTACTTAAAAGAAATTTTAATAGGATGGTAAATCTAATTGGTTGGAAGGCGCTTTGCTTCTTGCGACATACGCTATTATTGCTATCGCTTTTTACTTCTATCCGGCTGATATTCCAGGAACTATAAAGTCATGAAAATCATAATTGTGCCAAAATATTTGTAAATATCCGAAACAATATTGTATAGTAATTAATATTTCAGAATAAACTTTTATTTGCAACGTGATCAATCATAGCTTAACGCCTTTGGTAAGAGAGACTTCATTCGAATTTGATACTGAAAACATATAGGAATGAGTAGTGAAAGGATTGATGCGTAAAAAATAACTGGTTTTTCGAATTGGACATGTGATGTAGTTCGTCAAGATAGTTCAAATTCTGTACCAATTCTTCCACATACTTGAAAGAAAAGGAATGTTTATTAACAACTCTTTTCGGAATAATACATTAATGTCATTTTAGTCATTTTAGTCTATATGCGCTTACTTGTTACACGTGATTTGGTAAACTCAGTGTGATTGGTTGTTTTAACGGGAATTTAAAAGTTTTCTGAAAACATAAAATTTAAAAATATATACCTCTCCATGGCCACAAATGATACTAATTCACACGAGCAAAAGAGCAATTTCGAAGACTTTGGACTCGATTCCCGCCTTCTACGTGCCCTGTCCAAACTTTCTTTCGTTAAACCAACATTAGTACAATCCCATATTATCCCCTTGGCACTTTCCGGAAAGGACATACTTGCAAGAGCTCGGACTGGCAGTGGTAAGACAGCTGCATATTCACTGCCTGTAATACAAAAGATATTAAAAGCGAAGGAGGTAACATAGAAAAAAAATGAGCCAATACTGAAAATTCAATGACAAATAATTAACGAAATACTAACGAAACAGCTGGCACAATAGAATGCAGATTATGACTCTTCCTCGGCAACGCGGGCTTTGATCCTTGTTCCTACACGTGAGCTTGCAGAACAAGTCACGAAACAAGTGAATAAAATGTTGATCTACTGTTCAAAGCAACTAAAAATTGTTAATGTTGCTGGAAATATGCCTGTTCAATTACAAAAGTGAGTGATTTTGTTGTAGACGCGATATACCATATGCTTCGATACTCAATTTGTGATCTCTTCAATGTATAGGCCAATTTTGGCCGAGGAGCCAGATATAATAGTAGCCACACCAAGTAAAGTAGCAGCGCATCTTGAATCACAGGTAAAGTCGCGTTTACAAAGTTCACTTTGGATATGCATAGGGATTAAGTAAGGTCCCCTAACATAATTTATTTAATGCACCAATTGAAAGAATCTCGACATCAGAAATAGTTTAGAAACGCTTGTTATAGATGAAGCAGATCTAATACTATCGTATGGCTATGAAGAAGACTTGCAGAAAATACTTTCATACTTACCGAACGTGTATCAAAGTTTTCTAATGAGTGCTACGATGACAAAGGTACGTGTTTACAAAGACATTCCATCCGCGAGAAGATTTCGCTGATTGCCCTTGAATAATATTTAGGATGTCGAAAGTCTTAAGAAGTTGATATTGCGGGATCCGGTAAGCATGTCCAATGCTACTCAACATATCATTAAAAAGCTCAGATCAATTGCTCTAACCCATAATTAGGTGATTTTAAATTTAGAAGAAGATAAAGACGAATTGGCTCTTCTAACACAGTATTGTATTCGGTAAGATTTTATAATCCTTCGGAACTTAAAAATCATGACTTGGTAGGGAAAGCTCGCCTAATATCACCCATTATTTCCTATGAAAGATGCTCTGAAATCGATAAATTCCTTTTGATCTATGTTATTCTGAAACTCCGCCTCATCAAAGGAAAGTGTATACTGTTTGTCAACGACATAGATCGGTCATATCGATTGAAATTATTTTTGGAGCAGTTTTCAATACGCAGCTGCATATTGAACTCTGAACTGCCTCTGAACTCGAGGTATCACATTGTGGAAGAATTTAATAAAGGGATATATGACTACATAATTGCAACGGATGAAGATGAGCTCAAGGGAGAAAGAGACGAGGAAGATGAAACACTAGATAATAACAATAGTGAGGGTAAGACTCTGCGTATATTCAAACGTCAACTGTATTGAAATCATGTCGACAATATCTAATGTCTCAACCATCGCATCTCCAATCTAGCATCCAAAGGCACAAAATCTTCTCGTCGTAAACGCGATACGGAATACGGCGTCTCGCGTGGGATTGACTTTGTCAACGTTTCGGCAGTAATAAACTTTGACTTTCCAACAACTGCAAAATCGTATACCCATCGAATAGGTCGCACAGCTCGAGGAGACAAATCAGGGATGAGTTTATCTTTTATTGTTCCAAAAGAGCTTTATGGGCAACATAAAGCTGTTGGCTGTTCTACTGCAGAACGTGATGAAGAGATCTACGCAAGAGTCGAAAAACAACAGAGAGAGAAAGGTGCCGTGATTAAACCATATGCGTTTGATATGAAACAGGTTGAGGGATTTAGGTATAGGATGGGAGATGCGTTGAAGGCTGTTACCAAGGCTGCAATCAAGGAAGCAAGACAGAAAGAAGTGAAACAAGAAATATTAAATTCAGAAAGGTTAAAGGTGAGACTGAAACATTTTGTATATACTTGTTTGTACATATTTTGCATAATGACAAATAACATTTTTGCAACAGTCACATTTCGAAGATAATCCAAATGACCTGAATTTTCTGCGACACGACAAAGTTCTTCATCCAACGCGTATACGACCACATATGAAACATATTCCGTCATACTTGATGCCAAAAGTAGCTTACTCTGCTGTAAATGAGCAAAGTGAAACTTCGGATGTTGGTCATGTCTACTTTCGTGGGAACTCTTCAAATAAACATCGAAAAGGACGTAAAGGTTATGGACAGGTAAGAAATGTTAGCATACTGTTAGAGATATTACTGGATATTTATAAAAAGGTCGATTTATGAATTGATTAACACCAAAATTGATTTGAAATACAGAGACAGAAAAATGATCCATTGAAGACTTTCAGTGCAGGAAAGTCAAATAGAATAAGAAAACGACAGGTCAGTAAAATAACTTGTTCATCATATCCAAAACATTACTCAATTGACTAATTTTTGTTTTCTTGTAGAAAACTTCGTGACCGTGAACGATTGGTTATGAAGGGAGATTAATAAATAAATCATCTATTTATACAATTGCCTTAGCGTTAGTCTATTGGTATTACGCGTAGCCTATAGAATGTTTCCCTGGGATTAACAGCTCGGAATTTAACAACTTCTCGTCGCATAGTGTATTAATCGTTTTATAATCTAAAGCTTTTATCCTGGTGATCCATAGTAGCATGTGAATCGCTATCAGAAGCTTTTTTAGCAAGCGGTTGGCCGATATTGTTTATCAGTATCATGTTGGCCTACGTAGTTCAATAACGGTCATTCTTCTTTCAGTGCTGCAGCTTTTTTGGATTAATTTAACTTCAAAGCTATTAAGGAACTTTGATTGAGGTATCGCCAAATTTCACGCCATGCAAAAGAGAACAAAAAAAAATACACAAACCCTCGCCGTCACGTTTGATAACTACTGCGGTCATAGGCGACCACTTTTTCCAAGGGGTCGAGACCGCATTATGCAGGTATATGTTCTCTATAGAATCTGATAATTATCAAATTTTACCAAGGCAGTATGGAATTAAGAAATGCCAGCTTCCAATTTTTAAAAAACTCGTGTCGGCTTACTTTAGACGAAAACTATACTTCAGTAAGCCAAATTTCCCACTCAATATGCTTAAGGTAAGGGCAATGGCTATGCCTATTCCATATTCCGTTAAATCGATGATTTCATGACCATCATAAATAATAATTACTTGATAAAAACCGCAAGAATAAGTAAAGGCGCTTCTCGTCTTTTATTATTATAATCTCTCGGCGTATACGACTGTCAGTACCTAATCGATTCTCTTGTTTCTTTTTAAAATACTTGTCACGAGGGGTCTTTTGTAATAGTTGGCTTGGGTTTTTGGAATATTTTATTCTGCTTTGCGAATTACCAATAAGGATAAAGGGTTCACACTTCATCCCAGTACATGACATTCCTAAATTGCAATCTCTTGCGTAACAAGTTCTTTACAACAGCTCCATATTTTGTCTACCGAACGGTTAACAAATCACCAAACACCCTTTCTCGTTCGCATCTAACTCACACTACTAGTCGGGGAGAACCTACCATAATCGACGCTACCACCCACGACGTATCCTGCGTATAAACAGATAGAAATAGGGCAAAATTCTATGTCGATTACTTGGTACGTAAATACTTCAATAGTGATAGAGAGACTCTTAGCTCTTATTACTGTGTCATATAAGTGATATTAACATCTAATGAGTTGATTAAACTTTATTGATTAACTATGTAAGATTTTGGAAGCAGAGAACCAAGCTCGACTTCCTTATAACAATAGATTAAGTGTTTGTGTGTCCCTTCCATTTATTACAACTGTTATAGCAATGCGAAAGAAATCAGATAAATAAATCAAGGACATTGAACTTCAGTCTAGTACGGACTGACAACATACCGACCTCTACCCAAGACCAGCAACTACTCCACGGATACGTCGAGCAAGTTGAATATCTTTCTGCATAAGCGTGACTCTCTTGGCGTGAATTGCACACAGATTGCTAATAAACCGAGTAACAATGTATAAGCTGGACGATAAACCAAAAGCCAAAAGATGGAAGCAATCGTAATACTTACGCATCCTCGAACAAATGTACCAGAAATGCTTCTGCAGATTCCTGCAAGGCCAATAAAGCCGCGCTTTGCCACCTTAGGCCAACGTCGCCTTCAGTGATGAATTCTTGAGAAATTTCGCGTACCTGAACATGGAATGATGTAATAAACATCGTAATTAGGTTTCACGTATTCTTCGTGCATAGCCATACATACGGTGCAGAAGTTACGACTTACCACCCTTGCAAAAGGCAGCTTTCGAAGAAGTAAATCTGTAGTCTTTTGATAATGTCGTATTTCTCTAAGAGCTAACGTGCCGGGTCGATATCGCCTTTTGCCTCTTCCAGGGTTTATAGGATCCCCGACTAGCGAATACGACCGTGTCAGGTTAGCATTAATACAGCTTTTCTCAAAGAGGTTATAGAACGAGACAATATCTAGCAATGATATGTTGGCATTACCTCTTTGCCTTGTCGAACTAGGCGACGTTAGTGGTCGTAGTCTTTTTGATGCTGGTGGTCGTCGTCTTTGGGGTGTTCTTGCTCTTGAGGGAGTTGACTGTCGTGAACTGTCACTACCACGTGCCATATATGTTAATACGTGTTTATAATACTATTACTATACACTGATATAATATTGAATAGTGGGTGTCGTATCTATTCTTTTCGTTCCATCAAATCCGATATACAATGACAACGAAAAAGTTCTTAAGGGTGAATAGAAAGAATAACGCGACAGGGTCCCTTTAAAAGGACCCTCTCGTCTAATCTCGGTTTTTGGAAAGTTGTATAATTCCTGAGGAGTGACAAAGTGATGGCGAAAAAAAATGTGACACGTGATAATCGAGATAGCAAACCCCTGACAACAACAAAATTGATATATTACATATAAAGTAAGTATATGTGCACAGATAATAATTATAGAAAAAATTACGTTCTCTAGTCTAAATTGGGACTGTTGTTTATATATTAATATAGGATATACTGTACGACGCTAAAAGTGTAATAATAACTAGCAATACATGCAACGGGTTTCTGTATAATATGTCTTAATCAGCAGCCAAAAGTTAACTTTGTGAATGTCTTGTCAATGCTTTATTGTGGCGATAAGTAAAAACTTGTCTAACTGTACTATTACTGATTTGTTCAAGATAGATAAAGACCGTTGCAACAAACAACTGCCGTATCGCAATCAACTGTCTATTGTGTTAACAAAAAACTTCCATTGTTTGCTTTCTTTGATTTTTGTTTTTCACTGAAATTTAACATTTATTGATATCAAGAAAGCTGGAAGTCTATGAAAGAGAATCGTTGCAAGTGTCAACGCTTTATTATTATTACGGCCGTAAAAAGTGTTTGTTTACTAGAAGTTTTCTGACTGTACGATCACTGATTTTGTTTTAAGATTAAATAAAGATTATTAGAACAAACATGTCAAATGGGAGCTCTTGCGTTATTCATACTTGTTGCATTGTCGTTGTAAGTTACCGTAATGTTTCTTTGAAGTCATCCCATCTAATAGTTTTACAAGGTGACTCTTATGTTAATCATGAAATTTAATTCGATACTTTCATAATAACCGCAAATTACTAAATATAGATAAAATCAATGGTAGCATTATTTTTATTCTGTCCTCCTGCGTAATCTTTAAATACTTTCACCTTTATTCAATTTCTTAATTCCATCGAATACCATGTTCAATGTACCATTAGGACCTTTGCCGATAATTCGTCTTCATCAAGAACGTAATTAATTTGTTCGCGTACCGCCTCATCTTGAATACCCTTTACGTGGACTAAGATAATAAATTTTACTTACCTGTTGATCGGAATGGGAAACGTGGACGGTTTGCAACTGTAATGAGCAGCAGCATCAACGCTACAACAATCAGCTTTACCTCTTGTTATAAAATGCTCATTTACCAATTTTCTCTGTTGTTCTGCTAATCTCGTATTTTGTTGTATTTTTTCAACAAATCTCTTGCTTCTTCTTCCTTGCGAGCATTATACGGCCATTCCGAAAATGTTGACAAGTATCGCATAGATCCGTTCTTGGACTCATAATTTGAATATAAGGCGTTAATTGGTGTCATAACTTGCGAAATGTATCAAATTTCAACGTGCTGTCGTTTTCGAGACCATTAATTTTTTGAAATTTGCAAGCAAGTACGACCGTGATTTCCGCTTAGTGGTACGAAAATCTCCGATTCCGCAGTACAGATTGGCGCAGAAATAATTATAATGAACACTTGTTTACCGGATAAGGACAATTCTTGACAGACCATTCCAAATAAGGCCATAATTCTTGACAATCACAAGACAGGCCAATAGACACAAATTACCCCATCGAGCCAGTTTTCTTGGCAGTAGTGAAACGGTAATTACCGTAATAAGGGCCGCCTTCATGGCTCTTATTCACGGGATGTTTAAAAACAATGCAAAATGATCTACGAATCGTCACGTAACAATTGTCTGTTTTATTACATAATCACGAACTATTTTTCATATAAATAAAGTAATATATGACGTCGCAGCTGTTTCATAACATTACGGCCCTAATTCACAGTAGCATTTTTTTCATATGAGGGGCCCTTATTCACGGTAGGCCTTATTCACGGTAGGCCCTTATTCACGGCAGTTTACGGTGGTTATAAATATGAGTCGCGGCTGATAGTTAAAATCATCTTCAGAATCTTCAGAAGCTCAAAAGATCAGATCATTCAGCAAGTTCCTTCAACGGATATCCTCTCACTTGGAGTACCAAGTGACTTTAGGCGTTTTATGTACTTGTCATGGTAAGTCAATACTTCTACGGAGCCGCGTTTGCGTGCTAAAGACAAAGAAGCAGTTAGCGAGGCAATGGAAAGGCAAATCGCATTCAAGGTCAATAATATTTTTCAATTTAGCACTTGTCAATATTAGTCAATTTCCAGATTTGTTTAAACGAGGGTAAACGAGACAATTAAGAAACAAGATAACAGTAATAAACAGGTAGATTTATCTTACCCTATGTACAGTACACACTACTCTATGTCCCCAACGCCCGAGTCACAAAGTGGTTACCTGGTTGAGACACTAAAGCATCTAGCAACGTCTTCCTCCGCTCCAACTAATAAGTTTCTCTTGTTTCCAACACGTTCTCTCCCCCTTAGTACTCTTCCTGTTGTCCACGCCTCAGTTTTTCCAACCTATCCAACTTTGCGTCAACTCTTGTTTCAACTCAGCGGTGTTCATGTCTAACGAAGTGAAGTGTTTGTAAGAAGATGTGCTGCCGCGATGTGATCTAATATACTAATCAGTGGCTTAATCAATGACGTATTAGTATATTATAATTAGGAACTTTTCACAATATGCAGAATGTGACCAATGATAATCAATGCGCAGAAATTGCGTCCTTGATTTTATCGCTTAAAAAAGCGTTCGAGTTATAATCCGGACCTGATTGTGAACGAAGTATCAGCGATAAGCGTGATCAGCTCGCAGATTTCAATAGCGATTATAATATGTTTTCTTTAAGCGACAACGTGGTGAAATGAATAGTACTGATACCAATTGAAGCGTTTATTACACATATGCCATAACCATGGACTTAAACAGTTTATTTGCCGATTCAAACGTAATGATTTATTCTGGTGTTTCCTATTTATTACTTTAATACTTACCCACTGTTTCTAACACGATACAGGTTTGAATTGTGTCGGATTTGTAGTACTTGTGGTACAGCGAACCAAAATTATCGTATTCTTACTCGAGAATCGTGGAAAGTCCCGATCGTCGATAATTATTAACAGTAATAAAGAAACAGATATTTGCTTTATGTTTCTAGTTTTCGTTTTTTTCCTGGTTCATCATGTGTTGGGGGTAAGGTTTGTTTATTGTTTATTATTTTTCGTGAATTTTATAAGTGATTTTTTCTTTATCGAGATATTCCTCGAGAATTTTGGTGTCATTGATTTTAAAACGTATGGAGCAAGTTTTTCTCCTTGTTCTTTTTTAGAAAGCTTCTAATAGTACTGTAATTCTTTGGTTCCATGGTGGATTTAATATAAATTAGTTTCATGTTATATTTTGTATAGACATGATCCTATATTAACCATGTTATTATTACGACTTCATATTAGTCACATTCTGGCATAATATTAATTTAAAACTGTAATTTACATAAATTTGTGTATGAGTCACAGTTGTGATAATCAAAAATTAGTCAAATTAGTTAACTTTTAGCCACATCAGCCTCTCATTTATGTCACATAATAAAATGTTCACTTTGTCTGGTTTGTTGCAGTATGCCCCATGTTAAACTGCTTTTTGTTATATTTCTTCTATTTTTTATTTCTTTCTTGGTTTATCAAAAGTAGAGCCTTACACTGTTATGGTTGGTATTTATTTTAGTGGGGCAGATGAGTTGGTGCTTCAATGCCAACATGAAAGTAGTAAAGCCAAGACAAAAGAGAAAAGTTGGTGGATCAGTGCAAATTACAAAAATATAAAAAATAGGACTGCCAACTGAGTATGGATAACATTCCACTGTGAAAACTTTATGTTTTAATTTTCATTGAGCTAAAAATGTGCTGCAAAGGTATATAATGATGGAATAGAGAGTCTAGGAATGCTCTTTCAATGAATACTAACTTTGATAGTTACTCTACTAATAAAGCATTGATGATGTTTAAAACACAATCAGTAAGAATTAATAATATCCTTGTAACATCTAACAAAATCCATGGAGGAGAACTGGTGAGTTTTTCTCCACAGTATAAATCTGCAAGGAAATTGAAATCAGAAGTGCTGTCTTTCCATTTGCATTGTTGTCCATAGGAGAATATATTAATCTGCACTTTTTTGAACTTATTGGCAACTATTGTTGGAGGGGTGAGGGATAGACCATATTCAGTTGGTGGTAGTGGTGGTCTTACAATCTGATTTTATATGAACAACTGGATCTGAAGTCTTTTATCAAAGGAAGTGATTTTATCTTTATCCAGATATTCCTGGAGAGTTTGGGTAAATCAAAAATTATCAGCTACAGTAGCTAATTTCAGCCACACCAGCAATTTTGAGTCCAGATGATCTAATGTTCCTTTTTGTCTGGCTTTGTTGCAGCTTTGCCCCAATGAGCAAATGAGCAAAACAGTTTTTTCCACTGTATTATTACTGGTAATGAAACCTCAACCAAGAAGACAGTAAAGTATGGTTGAAATTAGGAGAATCAAGACCCCAAATTATGTGTACAGCTAAAAACAATTACAATTTTTCTCTGTAAAAGGGATTGTGGCTGGAATAGTGTGTGCCCAAAGGACATTAAATATTACTTCTCTATATTTTCCAACACCACAAGTCTTTGTTGAATGTCTAGCAGTTTATGATGTAATTCTTTATCATGGCAGAAATTGTTACTGCTACATAAAAGAGAAAGAGGGTCCAGTTGCTTTTTATTTCCTAGAAACAGGTGGAAGTTAAAAATCTTGCATGGGGTGTTCAGGCAGTGTCTGATAGCATACCAAAGATGAATACTGTCAGAGCCAGTAGAAAGGGCTTAAACTTTGCATAGACAAAAAGTACTTTAGCAAGATAGTAATTGTATGTATGCACGTTTTCAATACAAATTTATATTCTATACGAAATGCTTGATAGCTGTTGAACAATTGCTAATTGAATCATATATCAAACAAAAAAACTTTGTCTGTGTATATACTGACATACTAATCGGGCGATCGTAAATAAATTCAGACCACATACTTTTCGGCATTATCTCCGATTCTATCGATTCATATAGTGCGTGCTATTGTTTTCGGACATCGGCACATGATTACGTTAATGACCCTCCCTATAATCATGCAACTTTTGCTCGAAATGTGCTTACAAAGAGGTAGTGCTATATAGAAAATAAGTTCAAACATAGCGTGCTTATAAAGGGGATGACTGTAAAGAGGCTGACTGTATACTGGCGCCATTCCGCTATATTAGGTGTAAAGTAAATGGCGATAATAACAGGTTGATTGATGAACGATAGGCTGAGAAAAAATGGCCATTCAATCCACTTCCAAATTTGATCCTTTGAGCAACAAATGACGTTCAATGACGCCATAAAAAAATGATAACATAACTGCGCAATCGATAGTATTTTTCACTATGAAAAGATCACTATGAAAAAACAACCCATACAAGCATTTATAGTCTTTACATGTGATCTTCTTACTGTATCGAGTATCACAATGACAACCATGTTACATGTAACATTTTGGAGATAAGAAATGTGTAAATATATCGATATTTCCTTATTGATACTAATTATAGTAATAGAGCGTAAAAATAGCCAAATAATGTAGACATACCCAATATTTAGAGTTCAGAAAATTGGAATACAAAGCTTGAGATCTTTTTTTCGGCCCGAATTTTGGTCAACGATCGTTGTGGTACCCAACTCGATAATTAGCTTTTTAGCTTATCCTCTACTACCGCTGCCATTTACACAATTGCCCCTCACTCTATTATTCATATTTTAGCTTAACACACTTTTTTGTTTCACATCTGATTACTGATGTAATTATAAAACTAGCTCAGGTAACACTATCTCCAACGTTACTCAACATGTTGTCATTTTTTTTATGATGTGATGAAATCGTGCAACTCAATCAAGCTTTGTAATTGTTGTTGACTTGACTCAAATTTGCGTTAATAAATAATATAGACATTTAATTAATAGATTTAAACTCAAAAAAGATGCCTTCAAACCGAGCAGAACAATGGTCCAATTAGTAGAATGTTCTGGCAGTGAGAGTCTAAACCAATAAGCAGTCCGTTAAATTAATCCATACTTGTGTAACCCCAACATTCCACGGACTTTTTTTTTTATTCTGTACCTGCCTTGTTTATCAATACACCCTCGCATGTGTGACGACGTTGATGCGCCATGTCCTATTTTTAGTCGTTACAATCGGTTTACGCTGTACACTAAAAAATACATGACCGAGAATTCGGACAAATTAATATAAGGATGATAGTTTAATATTAAAGACAACTCTCAGCATTAATTAGTATTCACAGTCATGTCAGAGAAATCTGCTACTTATCGACAATGTACATTTATTAGGGTTACCAATACTAAAGTTTCTGTTATTAACTGCATTGTTGTCTGATACGATTGGGCGTCACAAGATTTAATTAATTGAAAAAGTCGTCAATTACTAGTTTTGATAAATAAGTAATAAATATATACATTAGTAATATATATTAGCTAGTTATATATTACAAACGCCATTTTGATGCACCATTGCTATTATTTAAATTAATATTGTGTAACTCAATTTATATTAAAAGATTTCTATATTAAACGTATCGAAATAGTAACAAAGGGGGCTTATTTATAATCATCCCAAATTTCAAACTATCATATAAGCAAGCAGCCACAGCAAAAGCCATCGCCAAGTTTATTCCTCCTAGTAACAACAAAAGCAAAAAAGAAAGCGGAAACCAAAAACTAACTCAAAGACATAACAATACCACAGCAATACTGATACACCTTCTTTGCACAGAAGCCATTCATTCGTCATATCAATGCAATACGACGTTTCATCACACTCTTCGTTCACTTCGTTGTCAAATATAAGACAACAATCATCCCCGACATCTTCACCAAGTCCATCTATTACCTCATCCCCAACACCCTCTCCAATGTTACCCATACTATCGCCAACAGCGACTACTTCGACTGCGCAGGCTGCATCAGCCGAGCTTTACCCATCACATTCAACACACTCTCCATCGTCATCGTCTACAACTCTTCCACCACCCAAAACAGTACCAATGATACGCCATGTAATGAACTTCAAACATGAATTGCAGGTAGCCAATTATAAAACAGAAATAAGCACCAACTCATTCGAACTGTGGGAGAAGGCATTGCTTCACTCTCTAATGGCTCTGAGTTTGACTATATTAATAGCTGCCATATTCCTACCTGATTATTTCATAGAGAAGGGAAATTTTGTGGAGAGTTATAATTCCTTTAATTATTGAATGGAGAGAAAAGGCCAGAGTTGGAGCGGGGAGAGAGAGAGAGAGTGAGTGAGAGAGTGAGTGAGAGAGTGAGTGAGAGAGTGAGTGAGAGAGTGAGTGAGTGAGAGAGAGCCCATGCAGGAAAGTGGCTATTGCGGACGTTCGACTGAACTGAACCGTGCGAATGAGAGTGGGTATATCGGAATACCCGAACATTATCGCACATACTTTCTAAATGACGATGCTCGCATTGCAAACAAATCAGCGCTTCCGCAGTACTTATCCTTTGAGCGATTATAAACCATTTAAAGGATACGTATTTATTATTATTAGAAAAATATTAGCGTACTCTTTATTTTGTATTGTGCTCTACTAGTTGTAGGGACATGAGATACATAATAACATGGTTGGGAGAGAGTTGATGAAAAAAGGCATTCTAATTGCATTCTAATAATTTATATTATATTTAATATTTTACGTTTTAATTTTTTTCTTTTTTGCTAACTTTACAATAGACAATTGCATAGACTTTTGTAAAATATATTCATCACTATTACTATGTATGATCATGAATAAAAATGTATATACAATCCGCAACCATCAGCCATATGATCAGGTTAAAAATAGAACATACGATTATTTAGGGTCTTTATCTTTGCCAAGAAAAGAATGTGAGAAATTCCGCATTCCAGATTTAGACATGTTTTCAACAGCATTGAGAATCGTGTACAAAATACTATTTACTAGATGTGTACGATATATCGGATTTAATTTGCGACTGTAAAATTTATTGTAGCTAACATATATTTAGTAGAACCTTGCTGGTGTGGCCCTTTTAATTAAGCAGAAAAGCCTTAGGGTTGTGTTTTATTGTGTAATAATGATAAATAAATATTTGTCCGATAAAAACTTTTCTAGTGGTCAATCACGAAAAAAAAATCTGCATAATGGCAACAAAAATGGTCATTTGAATCAGCAAAGTTTGACGATATCAGATTCCTTTATATGTTCACTCTGACCTTAGCAACTGGCAACGATAATATACCCTTTTTAATAAATGCTGTTCATTCATACGTTCCCGATGAGCCCATATCTTTGTGATGGAATACATGGTCCGTGAGATTCATGTGTGTAAAATTTGTTGGGGTCACAGATGGTCAATTAAAAATTCTTTCTGGACTGTGAACAAAACTTAATCATCGCATTATCACGATGAAGTACTCATTACGCATGATCGAAACTATTCGTCACATATGAGCCAATAAATTTTCCCTGGGGCAATATTAAATATCTATGGTTAACATAAACTTTAGTATAACAAAATTCGTGAATTCTCCACAATGTGCGAGACATAGCGATAAGCACACACAGTTTGTTCTGGACTACTTTTGATTGCCCTTCAACTAGTGGCTGCAAGAAAAATGGTTAACATTGTCTCGATAAAATTTGTAGAATAAATGCTACTGTTTAAATCCCACAGAATACTCTTTAAAGTATCGCGATACGTGATGCATATTGTAAGTCAGTAAATATGGGAATAAGAAAAAAGCCTCGTGTAAATAGTTATTTATTTTTATCACGATATGTATTTGGGGATTGCTAGTATGTTCGTTTTGCTTATTGCACACATGTGAACGATTCTTAAAGAGAATATACCAAAGAGATATTCCCACAGTTTTATTTATGCATAGTAATACAATAAATGCTTACGTTGACAATGACAAAATTGTGTCGCCTAATGATAGTATGAGGTAAAAATAGATCATTTAGAGTTTGGATTGGCGTTAGTGCATTTTAACAGATACATTGGTTGTTTAGTAAAGTATGATTTCATCGGCGTTGATAAAATATTGGCATTTTTGCAGAATTCAGAAAAACCAAGTTGAATGATTTTATTCCAGTTTGTATTAGATCTCGATCCCCAACGCCTAAATTAGAGGGCTATCCCAAAACTAACTAACTGCAAGTTTTCATCTACGTCATAAAAATTCATCTTGGCAAGCAAGGCATAACCCATGTGTTTACAGGGCAAAGTTCAACTGGTTAATCTTCGGGGTATTTGAAGTAGAATGCCGAACATAACCTCCACAATAGTTTTGATTTCCACTTTGGGTTTGTGGCGGAGGCGTAGTTTGCCGAATAAATATAGCCCCATAAACAGGTGTGCTTCAATGACTTTCAATGGAAACATTCGGAGATCGAAGAATATAATCCCCGACGCCGCTATGCGTTATTAACAGTGAATTTATTCTATTGTTCATTTTGAGACAATAGTCGAAACCATATGTCGTTTGAGTCAAGTGCTGTAATAAAGAAGCAATCGATCTTGTATATTGTGTTAATGTAAGTAGCTGATCAGTCAATGTTGACTGGTGGATGTCGTTAATTGAAAGCAAAAGTCAATTTTACTTTTTATCTCATCGTATACCGATTATTCGTTCATACACGTTGTTTTATCTATCTATTAACAGTCTAGTTAATGCTAAAATAAGGGTTAGTATTTTGTAATCGCGCCCTCAAGATCGCGTTTATCGTTTCTTAAATAGCAACTATAATAAGCACACTGATTGTGTGTGTGTATTAGTATGCATTTGATTTGGGTTGTGCAGATCAGTATTATAATAACGTGACTGATTGATATCATTTTTTAACCTTCATTCTCTTCCATAATGTCTTTACTTCGCACAATAAAGAATGCAATAAGAATAGGCCCCAAAGAGTTTGTTACTCAACTATGGCATATTGGAGATACAAAGTACGGTGTTTTAGTAGGGGTTGATCAGTTTGGGAACAAGTACTATGAGAACAAAGACGAGATTTTCGGTAGGTATCGGGAGAAAGGGAGAGTGGACTAGATGAGAGTAACCGAGATCGTGAGGTAATGCGTATAGTGATGAGTACACGTAATAGCGACTAGTGTTGTATTAGATAAGACGTTAACGAGATATACTGTGTTTCATGAGATGTAGTAACAGATACATGATAGCTGATATAACGATAATATTACTAATCGAATAATTAAGAGTTTCATTATTTTCATCAGCGATAATTGATATTAAATGCAATACACACTCATCAATATGAATGATGCTAATTACTGGTTGATACTTATCAATAGGTCGAGATCGATGGGTTGACTATGCCAAGCACTATTACGATGCCAGTCAGGTTCCTGCTGAATGGTGAGCTATCACCCTTAACAAATTACAACAACCTTACTTCCACAGCAATATATTTTGTTTCACTAGTTTATATTCACATCCGCTTCTCATTAACTTATATATTTCCTATAATCACTCGAATGACGGCGCAATTCGTTATCTTGCGCGTTTTTAATCACTGGCCTTATTACGTATACTTTTTTTTTTTCATCAGGCATCGCTGGATTCACCGAATAACCGATAACCCGCCCACTGTTGAACCACCACCATCTCCTAAATTCAAATTACCACACACTGATAATTTCACGGGCACTCGTAAAGCGTACAAACCCTACAGTACAACTGCACCGAAAATCTCTGCGTGGAAGCCCTCAGTTGATTCGCGAGTGCAATGAGCTGGGATGCGAGTGTTAAAAGTAGAAATGTGGGAGGATGTTTTTGACGAGCAAAGAATGGGAGTGATTATGAGAAAAGAACACTAAAAAGGGTTGGAAATGACTGAACGCTTTGAGTCTTTATAGAGGCGCGAGGCTGAAATTACGGGATTTGTTTACGACTCTACTTGAATGGTTTTAACTTGACAACTATTAGATTAATATAACATTGGATACAGAATTGGATGGATGATGTTGTTGTCCGAATCTGTAAATGATATGCGGCTTTCCTGCTGGCTAAAGTAATTATGTACTGTATTATATCGGTATACTTGAACAAGATTCAAATGCAAAACGATATAATTAAGCGTTTTTATTTACATGAAATACACTTCATATTACAATGTGAAAAATACAGATATGATTGCTTGCAATTGTACATCAACCTCCCCATCCGATTTCGAATAACTATTAATTAGTATTAATAGACTCCCGCCCCTCAATCCGCAAAGTTGCTTCACGACGTCAAGATTATTCGCGAGTTTCATTTGGTGGATTGAGTGGAGTTGATGTATTGGATTAGTAATAGTAATAAAGCGTTGTGTATCAAGTTTGGTATCGTATGCTGTTACAACCCCCCGCTTGTTACTAAGCCGAGAGTTACTATCTATGAAGGACAAAAGGGTCAACATTCGGTTTCGTTCATTAGTGGATTTTCATGAAGAGGAGTAGCGCGTGGAAAGAATTCATCTCTCTCAAAATCCAGCTGATAGAGGTGGGCTTGGTCTGCTGATTTCTCATACAGATCGAAATGCTTTATTAGCGCCATCAATATAGCAAGCATGGATCGATCAGCTTCCGTGATGGTGTTGACGAAATCAATCACGGATATCATATATTTAATATCGGACATAATGGAAGAGAGTTATAGGAATCGGTCTTGGTCATCCGCCGGTAAAGACAATGGCAAAACGGTTGTCGCCTCATATATCCGCCTTCTGATATAAATATGCCGCCCGGGCAACTCAAATCGTAAATTAAGTAAAAATAATCACACTGGTCGCCTTAGAAGTAGAGGTGGGTATCTTTATTGATGTATTTATCCATGTGTTAAAAGGTGAAGGTAAATCTATTGATCTCTACGATGTTTCTATTGATCTCTATGATGTCTCTATGAAATGTAAACAAGCAGAAGACTTTTCGCCGGGCAATTTGACATAATAAAGGTCGTAAACGTAGGCATGGAGGATGTGACAGCTGATATTGATCAGCTTCTGTGATTGTGCTCCATTTTATCTTTTTATTGACATACAGTTCTCCCCCGAAAAGTAATGGCGGGGCGTTTTTTTCTGAAATAATATAAACATAATAAACACTCGGACCGCGAAATTTGTCCAACGAAATAAGTCCAGAGGATAAGTCACATGATAATTGATTGGATATCTTTTTTGATGAATACAATTTTGCTTGACAACCCGAATACCAACCAGAAGAATCTTGTCGAATGGAGTCAAAAGTGAAAAGAAGGCTTTTTTTTTTTACAATAAATAGACTCTTAGTACTTAGCGACAATTAGACTTGTGATTGATTATATTTATTGAACTTCGATCACTATTATTACTATGCTAAAGAAAATCGCAATGAAATTAATCGCACAACACATTATTATACTATACGACGAAAAATTGATCTTATTCCGACATGTGCACTTACAAATTTCTAATTGTTTTGCCAAAGTACTATACAATAACAGACTAAGTCTGAACTCGGGACCAGACAAAAGTATGCATTTAGGGAGTCTGACTATATACAAATATTTCTAATGTTTAAAATGAGCCAAGAAAATGTTGCTATTAACAATTTTTATGAGTTTGATTCTTTTAAGAAACACCTGCACTGAATAATATTTATACGCAGATTTCGAATAATATTATGTGAAACCACCCTGCCATTGCTTTTCGGGGGAACTATGTAAAATAAAGCAAGAGATGAGTTCAAGATACAGTGTCGACCCGAAATTATTGATGAAAATTTTAACGCGCATATCTCGACCAATTCGGAACCAAAACGCGTCATGTAAAAAATTAAACCAAGGTATTTATTTGTGATAAAATTTTTATCCGATTACAGAAATGCATAAGGCCAAGCGCATTAAGTGGACCCAAAAACACCTTAATTATAACTGGACAGGAACCCTGTTTACTTATGAAACAGCATTTCAGCTCTTCAGAAACACTGTTGAGAAACACTGTTGAAGATATAAGGGTCCAAGGCCTACTAGCTCAATACCAAAGGATTGAACCAAGATTTTTGCTTGGGGAGGATTTTTATTAATGGTAAAACAAGCCTCTTTTGTGTAAAAATATTATGGATGCAAAATTATGTAGAAATCTTAGAAAGACATATTTCAGAGGTTAATAATTTGATGGTAATATATGGCAGTTTCAACAAGATAATAACCCTAAGCATATGAGCCACCTTGCTAAATCATATTTTCAAACCCCCCCCCCCCAATGCGAGAAATTGTCATGGAGGAGTGGAGGTAAACTTATAATGGAGAACAAATTCCATTTTAATGAATATCCTTGTTGTAAGCTATCAGACGAGATATTGATAATAATTGTTGGTACAGTCGTTGATTGGCAATAGCCTTTTTCAATAATTTAGTGTCGTACTGTACATCGCTGGTATAAACAAGTTTCGCTGTATTCGGAATGTCGTTGAGATTTCATCGAAGATTGTTCGTACAATTGATTAGAAACCATAGTGAAGCAAACTTTGATGTATTTGATTTATTCACGTTGCTTAATGTATCGTCAGACACTCATTACTATTGTTGATACTTACAGCAGCATAATATTCCGTGCCTATATTTCACCCTGAAACAATTGTTGCGTATTATACGCACTTTTTAGACCATATTAATCTATTTTACATATAACGAAGGCGATATGTAACATACACCACCCAGACAAAGTATCGGACTACCTAACTTTATTAATTACCAAAATTATACATAATAACTAAGGCTGAAAATTTATACTTTATGCTCTGAGTATTGAAAATTGTGATATATTATTTTACAGCTTGCACATTCGGGTTTAGCACACTTTTCCCGTCTGTGAAATTGATAATGGCAGATGTTATTATTTTGTTATCAATCCCACATCTGACGGTGAGTTTGCTAGTATATACTCACTTCCTACATACAATTACAATAATAATGCTTGCAAAAAGGTTTGTATACTTTGTTTAATTGCTCATAAATTTAATAATTTTTTTTACAATTACTTCTCATAGTTAACTCACGTCTTCGTCTTGTCGATCACGCTAAATCGATTAACTCTCTATCAGGGATAGAATTTCATTCCTCGACCAATAAACGCACACAATTTTTGGGCATGCTATTGCTACATTTTTTTTTGGCTAAATGCCATAAACTTTCTATGGTATTTAAGTCTGGACTATTGACAGGCTAGTAACAGTTTTTCGCGCTGTATATTTAGCTTGTTTGAGACATTCCTGATCGAATCTGACAGCAAAAAGTTAGAGTTGAGCAAAAACGAAATTAAAAATTCATATTGCATAACATACAATATATGTATTTAAGATGTTTTTGGGGTTTTTGTTTACTACCTTCTAGGCACACTATAGAACGTAATAGTAACTGAGAAATTTTCAACTTTTTAGGTATTAGATAATTGGGTGCATGCTAACGACAATGTTTTTATTGATTAGAGAGAAATTATAATGACGCATGAATTTCTCTAACCATTAACAAGAGCGTAAAAGTCTTCTGATAGGTTTATCATATTTTGCGTACCACATTGTTCTTTCGTCCATTCTCAGTCAGTTACTTCTCAAGTGCTTACGACCTATATGAAATTTTAGAGTATGACTTTATTGTCAAGCTACACATAATAATAAGTGTGCTAAAGATAAACATATTATAGATTAGAACAACAAGTAATTATGACGTATGCCTCTCACTTTATGCGCAACCATGGTGAACTGCTTCGCCGCATGTGACAATAAAGAGCTGTTCTTCAGGTTCATCGGGTTTGTCTGGTTGGTTAGGACACCTTACCATGTCAACTATCTCTTGATCAGAGCTCATTATTGATTTTAATACGTAGTCAGATCGAATGTTATCGTCGTCGGCAACTTCCTCGTCTTTTTATTTATTAATTTAAAGAATACGTTTATTTTATTATTGATACTTGCGTTGGATTGTAACAATATTCCACCCGTTTGAATTATTGGGTTGTACTCGATAAAATGATTACCAATCATAGTGACGATATGGAGAATTATTATCTACTTATTGCAATTGTATCAATGATGACTCTTTTCCTGTGCTAACGCTGTTTGTGCTGCTCGCTATACTGCATAGGTCACACCGATATCATATTGATATGCTGTAATGAAGTGTTACACTAAACAATATATTGGGCTTTACTATTGGTTGGATCTCAGCGTCCGACAATATTAAGTAGTATCGCTAACACGCGAACACGCGTCTACTCATACATACATACACTCCCTGGACAAAAGTATCCGATGGGAATTTTTTCGATTTTATGCAAAATCCAGTATAATAATTACGCAAACTTTTTATATCATTTTGTAGCTTTGCTTTTTGCAAATCTGCATGTGAAGTTTGAAGTGTTTAGCTTTCTTGAA